GAGAAGGAACGGGGTGGTTTTTAGTCAGTAAGAGTCTGACACTCCCTCCCGCCTCGCCTAGGCGGGAGCAGTCATTCGATGATTTTCCGCACTTAAAAAAAAGGGTAAATTAATATGCGTACAATGGACGGTACACGGAATGGTGATATCTTCCAGACAACCTTTGGATGCTCTGGCTTATTCATACTAGTCTTGTTTACAAATTCTACATCCACATCAGTAGATATATTTACTAAAGTAGTGCTTCGATAATCTTAGTACAAAATTTTTCAGTTTCTTAACAATTCTTAGTAATTTTTTGGAGTCTGGATCGTGTCCGTACATATCTAGACTTATATCGCTACGGGACTGAACGGTTTTAAAACTAGCTTGCTTATTCAATACGTGAGCGTTTACTAATTCCTAATTGTATTGAAACCTTAAACTGTAATCGGAATTAACTGTGTTCCATGAAACTAAAGCGATACACGTGTACGTTATTTGATGGTCAAGATGGCTGCTTTTTCCGGGCTATGCTGTGTTATGAACGGCCCCTGGCCTACTGATGGACTATGCGCTTCCTCTACACACAGTCGGCAATTAAACCAACAGAGGCTTCAGTAGACATTGTACAACAAACCGTACATTTTCTTTTTACCTAATAAACCTAATTGATTGCACCTTCTTTTCTACCTGATGGAAAGCTGGTTGTCCACTTAGGGATACGTCCCTACTAATTAAATACTAAGTTAGGTATATTCGGTAAAATATTATGACAACATTATGATATTTATAAGAAAAATATTGTTTAAAACGTAAACACAACAACCCTAATTCCTAACTTATCATTATCATCATAATTATTTACTACACTACTCAAAACAAAATAAGGGACACTGATTTTAGGCTTTTATATATTCTTATTGCCTACTTAAACACTAAAAATTAAAAACATATCGACTACATAAACAAATACTTTAATTTAGTAACTTCTTCGAGAAATCTTGAGTTATTCGAAGACTAATTAATAAGTATATGATCTTTGAGGTGGCCACAATGGTGACCCTTATTTTATTTTAAGTAGTATACTTAGACCACAATTACTGTACAAAATTGATTCGAACAAAACCAAACACGAAAACGAATCTGTTACTATTTGTACAAGTTATCAAAACAAACATGGCGTATCAATTTTACAGAGTAAACAGTCGTGTTAAACTGACAGTCGCTAGTCGTTGCTAATGCGCGTGCGCAGTTGCTATGCAAGTAGACAGAGTGGTACAACGTTGAATCGTCGTATCTTAGTTGGTGCATCATTCAAATTAATGTTAGCAGTAAATCGTATGATCTTTCAAGTGAATTATGTATTTTAACTCGTCGAGTACCGGTTTTATAGACACAATTAAAGAACAATAGGTCGCGGTCACCGGTGACCGCTTGGTATTTGACAGTTTAAAGAGAAGAACAGATTGGTTCATTGTTATTGTTATGGCGATAAGGTTTAAATTAATCATCAATTTGTAAAATAAGTAGTCTTAATGACTAGAGTTGTATTTATTTATTAATTAAGGACATCATATATTTTTGTAGTGTTCTTAGTTTTTGAGCATTTTCTTTAAAAATGAATAACAGTTACAATAGATTCTGAAATAATGATAAAATTCACTGAGTCAGCACAGCACATTTTTAAACCATGTTTTAATCAATCAATCTCCAATTCTCCAAAGCCAAAATCTCCAATTTTTTGTAGAAACCATTTCAAAATTAAACCTATATTACATCACTATCTACGATATAGAAGTAATTTACTCCAAATTTTCCATTGATGTCCGTAAACTGTATACAATCTATCTTCGCCTTACAGTGCGCGCGCGCCGGTCGACTGCACGTGCACACATGCGCACTGTTGCTACGCTGAAACTGGAACGAATAGTTATCAGTCGCTGCATTAATCTCGTTGCTTATTATGCAGTTGTTAACTGTTATTGTTAATAATGTGATGTGGGTATAAGTAGGGATTGTCTGTGACTGCTCTTACGGTTAGGCACGGTCAGTATCAAAAGTTGATAAACACATTTAGATTTTCAAAATCGCTGTACACATGGCCACATATCAATCTATACAAAACCATGGTGTCGCGTCGCATTATCTTTCCGCACATTTAACGTTCAGTTTATAATAGTTATGTAAAGCTCGATGTGTAGCCGTGTGTACACCGTATTACCTAAATCGGTAAACATGACAAACGTCAGAATATGTTCTTTTTAAATTTTTTTTTTGCTTTTTATTTTGTAACCGAGTATATAAATACATAATTAGCTTGTGTTGCATTTAAGGTGCTTGTCATGTTCGCCGATTTAGGTATAATACGGTCTACAGTGATATCAACTTTTGATGCTGACCGTACCCATGTAGAATTAATAACTTTGCTTCATTTTCTCCCGCTGATACATTTTTGCTAAAGAGTAACCTATCATTATATTAAAAGGCGACAAACTTGGTTCAATGAATACTGAACTTTTTGACTTTAAAAGAGATGGTCACTGAGTTTGTTTCGACATTTCTTCTCAGAGTAGTCAGTTTGGAAATGTCGACCTCATCGTTCGCTTAAAAAAATTGACGTGTAAAAGTGCTGCATCGTAGCCTTTTGTACTGAAATGTTTTGTTTTTCTGTAGGTACGTACAACGCGCATGATCAGATTTTTTTTTTTAACTTTGCCCCACTCTAGGTTTATCTCCTGTGTCGTGGGTGCGTTTACAAACATACAAGTTCACATACACATGACACCCAGACCTATGCTACCTTACTTTTATCTCGAAATAGACATGCCACGAAAACTTTTAGGTTTATGCAGTTAGAAATTGTACAGTAAAAGTGTTGAATCTATACTGAAACAAATTATACAGATACTAATTTACCCTGTGTTTTAATAATACAATGCACATACTTTTACTAACGCAACGTAACGTGGTCCAATTTTTAACACTCGTTCTACAAAATACTCCTAACATCTTTATGGAGAATCGGGTTAAACCAACATACTGCTATTATTGTGGAAGCTTCCTAGCTGGACCCTCGCCAAGTGGAAGGAATCTCTTAAAGAGATTAAATAGATTCAACATCATTCCTTTTATTCTGCGATGGAATAGATATAATATCTATTACTTCCAGTTTCTTACGAATTCCATAATAACCATCGGAATCGGAATGACTGCACGGTTGGTGCGATGGCTGGACAACCGGCTGCCGTGCAACGTGTCGGGTTCGATTCCCGCACGGAACAACACTTTGTGTGATCCACAAATTGTTGTTTCGGGTCTGGGTGTCATTGTGTATGTGAACTTGTATGTTTGTAAACGCACACACGACACAGGAGAAAATCCGAATGTGGGGCAAAGTTTTATAAAAAAAAACTGATTAACTAGGCTTTAAACGAGCATTTTGTCGAAACCGCAGGCTCAATTCCAACTTAAAAATTTAAACATAAATAATAAATTGCCCATCACAGCTCCCAGATTGATTGGTCAAACAAATATTATTTTAGTAACGACAAGAATGGATTCAGAAGGTCAAGTTCATAGTTGTTTTTCTTTAGATTGTACACAAAATATGTCGTAATATCTACAACCGACTCATGATTTATTATGACAGTCGTCTAAATTGGGATGGGAATGGGAGATCGTCTTGTCAACAAGTTGCTTAAGTGCCCTATTCTACTGGGGAGGTCATGATCATAGGAACGGTCGCGGAGCCATTGTATCTGCAGTCTCCAGACATTATCGAAATTAATGCCTTACTACCTTAATTAGTCGCGGAGAACCTAACGGGTAACCGGGGCTCCAGCTGACAGGAGGAGGAACGGGGTGGTTTTTAGTCAGTAAGAGTCTGACACTCCCTCCCGCCTCACCCAGGCGGGAGCAGTCACTCGATGATATTCCCCCCTTTAAAAAAAACTACCTTAATTAAATAGTTACTTAACCCAGTTCTTAACCATTGTTATCGGAACAAACCATTACTAAAGAGAGTACCTACGGCAGTTAAGCATATTCTTTTCCACTAGGGAATCCTTTGGATAATACAATAAGGAGTCTGTTGTGCCGACCTATCACCTTCTCAGTGATCCCTTTTCTTTCAAGTTATTGCTAATTCTTCATACATAACTTTTAACGTATGTATATCAAAGCACATGTCTCTGTCTATTACCGAAGTCAAAATATATTTTATCAAAATATTTCTTTTTATATTTATATCAACACCAAAGAGCTCTTTGAAGTTCAATATAAATACATATTACAGTAGCTACCTGTCCTGTATCTTAAATGGCTAATTTTGTAGATTTATATCTAGTATCTACCTACAAATTAATTTTATCCCAGAATTTTATATATATTTCTCATGTATTTTAAAAGAAAATGGTTAACCAATTTAGACATTTTATTTATTTAGCTATTAAGTAAAAATAATGTTCAAAAGGATCTAACAAACGTTTTCTTAAAGACCGGGTAATGAATTAGGCGGCCATTGTGAGGCAGTGAGGGGCTTTATATTACCCGTGAATGCCGTGATGTTTCAATTCTTATTATGAAAATGAATTTGAAAAACATTACGCCTTAATTTACGACACGACAGTAAACGTTTACCTAAATATTAACTTAACTACAAGTAGAGATTATGTAGGTATCTTATTCTTCTTCTCTTCTTAGTAACCTATGGAGTTTCTTGCTCGTTCTTCTCCATACGAATCTACGCCTTGGAATGAGCAAATAGATTCACTTTAAATTTTTGTTTTTGTTGACGTTCAAAAGTGCCATTCTGGCCTAATTGAAATAAATGATTTTGACTTTGACTTTGACTTTGACTTATTCTTCTTCTTATTTGGTTGCAAAGAAAACATCAAATCAATAAAGCCTTCCAGGCGCGTCCTAACTAGTCTCAAAGACATAACTGTCTTGGATCCCGCAGCACAACATATCAGAAGATATCTTTCCCTGCCTAATTAACAAATTCTATTCTATTTCAGATCCTGCCCTACATAGACGGGTTCAACCACGTGTCTAAGATCGCAGCCCTGACGGACGTGGAGATCAGTTTGGTGCGAGCCTGTGTTCAGAACCTCGTCTACTACGGAGTGGTCACGCTGGTGCCCATCTTTCAGTACTGTGCTGTGAGTAATGTCACTTCTTATATGAACTAGATGACTGGAAGTTATTTTATGGGATTAGCCGGTAAACGAGCAGATGGATAAGCAATCGGCGCCGCCGCCGTTACAATTGCGTTACGGGCCTTTTGGGAATTGGGAATTTGAGGATTGTGGAGGGGAGGGGAGAATTGGGCCTCCGGTAAACTCACTACACGATGAAACATAACGTAAGCGTTGTTTCACGTCGGTTTTCTGTGAGGCCGTGGTATCACTCCGGTCGAGCCGGCCCATTTGTGCCAGAGCATTGCTCTCCCACACTTAAGTCCCTGTAGAAAACGTATGCTTTTTAGCTATTATGTTATTTGATTTTTAATTTATGGAGTATCGTCATCATTATCAGCTTGTTTTTTGCTCATCTTGTTCAGCAGTATGTGGTAGTAGTATGTATATAAGAAGTATGTATATAAATGCCTTAAACTGTCAAATACCAAGCGGTCACCGGTGACCGCAACCTATTGTTCTTTAATTGTGTCTATAAATACGGTACTCGACGAGTTAAAGTTGATTTTGTGTAGACAACGCGTTTGTAAGCTCTTAGGAGTCCTGGCTTAAATAATTTTCTACAAATCTTTTATCGAAGTTTCTTGTAATATTTCAGGTGTACAGTGCGACCCCGAAATTAAGGCAGCTCACTCGGTGCGCGGGGCTGCAAAGACAGTGCGTCGAATTCTGCGCACGGACTCGTAAGTTGCAATTTCGTTTCGAGAAAACTCCTGATCTCTTATAAACAAAGCCTGGGAGTGCAATAGCAATATGTACTTTGAATTAAGTTAAACATCATCCATCCTCTCATTTAGGCTCATTACCTGATGTATACTCCGTCTGTTTAGGTAGTTAACTATTTGTAAACAAACCATAAAAAGAGTTCTTTATAGTTGACATTTCCATGATTCAAAATACTTCATAAGAAAATAAAATTGTTTCCGTTTTTACGACAGTTTTCGTTATTAAATGTTATGTTTCTGTTCCTTTTCACTTATTTCTTAGTAAATATTATATATATCTGCTTGAGGATATTAATTTAATAACATTTATTAAATAATATAATATTTCATTACAATAGACACCATAAAGAGCCTAAAATCCCAGGTATCCAAAACTTTTCTTTAAGAACGAAGCAAAATAATGTTGTCAAATTAAAGAGTACAACTAAGATGTAGCGCGACATGAAAGTAGCGTGTATTACGTTTAGTCGGTTAATCAGGCGCCATTGACAGCTCTCTCGTCGTTTGCGCTCGCGTTCCTATTTTGTTGAATTTTCTTGTTTCTTTGTTTTGTTTTCGTTATTAAGTTATTCAAGTTTAGGTTATTCATCGTTTGTAATTAATGTGTTCAAATATTTTGAAGAAACTTGGCCCAAAGACACATATCCGTACAAGAAAGAAATCCGTACATCAGATTCAGAATAGTTTCTATTTAAACATGATAATGAAATAGACCCATAGGCAAGGCTCTTGTACGATTTAGGCATTTGTAGTTGTGTTGTGTGTATGACAAATGAACGAGTTTAAAGTGAATTAGGTTAAAATTAAAACACGAGAAATATTTGAAGTAATAGTAGGTTAAGTATCTCTGTGTCACGTGGTTTTCTTTGTTTACCTTTAGTTAATTACCTAAACAGATGGACTATAGATTACAGTGATTTACCATTACATACTCGAAAACATAGAGCTTTATCTTCTCTCCATCCAACTGTCGAACTTCCCAGACAAAAATCAATTAAATTCTGTATTTTCTATCTTTAACATTCAATACAAAGACATAACATAACATCACGCCTTTTATCCCCGAAGTAGCGGGGATCGCGAGACGATCTCCGGCCACCGTAAGCGCGGGCCTGCGGACGGCGAGCATGGGTGGCTCCCCGTCCGACCAGAAACAGACCCGAGCGTACGGCGCGTCGCGTTCCGCGCGCGCCTCAAAGAGCCATCAGACCACCACAGATGGGGCCCAATAGGGCCGATGCCGATTCGGAGTCGCGGAGAACCTAACGGGTAACCGGGGCTCCGCGCAAGAGAAGGAACGGGGTGGTTTTTAGTCAGTAAGAGTCTGACACTCCCTTCCGCCTCACCCAGGCGGGAGCAGTCATTCGATGATTTTTCCCCCCTTAAAAAAAAAAAAAAAAAAAAAAAAATCCCCGAAGTAGAGGTGCACATTATGCCACTGTACAATGTAACACCCACTTTTCACTATTTATGTTATGAGTCCCATGTAATAGGGGGTGAGCCTATTGCCATATACCGGGGGCACAATTCCAGACTCCGTGCTACTAATGAGATTTTTTTAAAACCCCAGTAATACTTTGCCCGACCCGGGAATCGAACCCGAGACCCCTTGCCCGCAGTCGCACTTGCGACCATTCGGCCAACGAGGCAGTCCAATATTAACCCCTCAGTTTTCCATTTTCAGCTCGCCAGCTGCCGAAAGTGAGCGACATATTCCGAATGTACGCGGGCATGTCGTACGGCAGCACCATTAGAGATCTCTGTCGGAGGATGAAGCCGCAGGAGCTGGCCATCAACGAGAGGAAACTCGTACTCTTTGGGGTACTAGAAGGACTGATTAGAAGGGTGTATAAGGTATGGACAATTTTGCTTCTTGTTCAACAGCAACAGATTGTGTAGTGATGTTAGAAGAGAATATATTTACTTTTTACTATTTACAAGAACATACTAATGGCTGAAATGAATCCTTACTAATATTATAAATCCGAAAGTGAGTTTTTTTGTTTGATCCGCTTTCACGCCGTAACTACTAAACCGATTCCTTTGAATTTTTGCAGACGTAAAGTTAGAAGTCCGAATTAAATAATAAGGTACTTTTTATCCCGAAAAAAATTGATATTTCCGAGGGAAAACAAAAGTATTGGTATAGATGGCGCTGTATGTATTGGTATATGTCACATAGGCTTTTTATCCTTTTGTGACGCGAGCGAAGCCGCGGGTAAAAGCTAGTAACCAATAAATCCCCAATCTCCAGATCGGTCAAAGTTTTTGACAGAATTTTCATTAACTGAAGATGATGATTATTAATTTTGGTTGTAAGGAATCCCTTATTTTTTAGACTGGGTAGCGCATTTCATAGACTGGGCAGCATAGCTCCATTATAAACCTGAGGCTTTTAAACCACAATACAACATGCATGTCTCTTATGTAGAGAAGGTCACATAATCCAGCAGTAGACGTAACAACTCATCATATGAAATTATGGGACTGTTCAAGGGTCCTGGGCGCTTATTCTTGAAACCAATCTCAATGTCGATGCAATTTTAATCCTATACAAAACTATACAACCCCAATCGTAGATGTTAAAATAGCATTCAGAATACGGAATATAAAGCCAGACTCAATACCATTTAGTTCATTCAAAAGCCACGCAATACGAATGCAATAGGCGCTAGTGTTGCAACTCAAGGGTACGAAATTTCACAATGTCAATGTTGATCGATCAGAATTGGATTCAAGTGTAAGCCCCCTGAAGAGCTTAAGTACTCCTTTGTGGAAAATCATTTACAATCTTTTTAATATCTTAAAATGTATGTTTCAAAATAGAAACTTATATATTAATTTAAGTTATCCCACATTTCAGTTCCCAATAACTCTTCACAACGACGACTCAGCGTCTATAATAAGTGACCACAGCCAACCACTCGTGCGCACGTACAACGGCCTGGTCTGTCTCGACGAACTATGCTGTCAAAGCGGCCTGTCAGCACTGCAGATTGAAGAACAGCTAGAAAGAGACAGCAACGTCATCTTCATAGTGAAATGAAAGAGATGGCAAGTTTTTTGTCTGTTACTACTACAAATGGGAGCTCTGTGAGCAAAATGGTCATTGGTCTTATTATACCGAATGAGCCTTTTGACGTTTTTATAAGGAATTAAGACTTTTGGTCGGGAAAAAATATCTCCACTTGACTCATCATTTTCAACCTTATGGGCTGTTGATAGGGTTTTAAATGCTTTGAAGGGTCAGTATGACTATTGAGGCTACATAGGTTTGATTGAATATTTTTGGAAATTTGCGACATAATTTTTTAAAAATAAATTGAAACTTATCTACATGGATTTTTAACCATGGCGCTTGTTTACTCAATTGCGCATACGCATCGTCTCGTCAGTTTACAGATAACTTCTATAACCTGTAATATGATTGAAAATAATTATCTTAATATACGTATTTCATGTAGACGAATCCGTGGGTGAAAAGCTAGTATATGTTTTTATTATTGTATTTTATGTGTATATATATTAAGTACTGTAAAAAGAAGTTATGTATTTAATTCTTGTAAAACTAAAATTAGAGTATAGTTGTCTTCTTCTAAATGTAAGAGCGAAATAAGGACAGCAATTCTATGATGATGTACGAATTTGGGCTTTACTATGTTTATGTATAAAGAGTATATTCGCAAACCAATGTCAATTTTATGATATAATGTCAATGACTTAAGTAAAAAAATAAACGTTTAAATAAAAAAAAAGAAACAACGAATGAATTGTAAAAGAAAACAATTTTAGTACATATTCTAAATGATATGAGAAGAAGGATTCTATTAAAAGTATTGACTACATCTAACTATCAATTTTTTTTTATTGGTACAAGCCCGCCATAACCTCCAGAAACCGCTGCAACTCCTGTAAGCCAGGATCTACTGTAGACCATGAAACAGTGTAAAGTTAAGCTATGTTCAAATAATGTTATGAAAAAGTATAATGTTAAGTTAAGAGATTTCTTAAGTCATTGATCTATATTTTATTAATTTAAGGGTAATGACTATAGTCTACTATAAAGCAAAAATAAATTTTATTGTTCTATAATATACAGACGATTATCACCTTTAACTGCTAAAATAAAAGAGCTGTTTTACCTTGTCAGAAGTAGATGTAGTTTTGTAAATATGTAAATGAAATTAACGACTTTATTATAATCTGTATAAAAAAATATATATTTCTGTAAATCTATGCAATTTTGTACCCTACTCGTAAGGTTTTTAAGACGATTTTTAAATAACCATACTTTATAAAAATATTATTACCTTTATATTTAGAAAGCTAGTTATTCTATTTTTAAATTACAACGTAAACGGTTTTACTATAGAATTTAATACAATTCGTCGGGGATAGTACAAATCCGCGGAACTAGGGTTGGGTAATTCCTCGTATATGCGAATGTAGCTAATTCAGGTTTTCGCGAAAAAATCCCGCTAAATCTAATTGGTTGTTACCGCCTTGACACGAGTTCATTCCGACATAACCTAACATCACGCCGTTAATCACCGAAGGAGTAGGCAGAGATAGGTAGATTCGCGGATTTGCACAATCCCCGACGAATTGTCTATACATAGGCCAAGATCTATTTAAAATATTTGTCAGTAAACAATAAATAGCGAGAACTGCATCTCATCAATGGGGCTACCGTTTTCTTGTTCACTAGATGGAGCTAGTGTGAACCTTTCGTCGTTACCCCCAATAGAGAGTTAACTAGTGTTACACCATTGAATCTTCAAGTTGTGACAGCTTCAGTGATTCGATAAACTGATCTCTTGATAAATTAGCGCCATCTATTGAGCAAGTTCTATTCGGTGTGACCAGTTGTAGTACTTGTAATCTCGCCTTTATGGTATGTTTTCTATCTAACATTTCCCATCGATCTTGGCCTAAGTTAAAGTTATACATATAGCCGTTCTAAAGAGCGTCTACTTTAATTTTTATAATGTTCATAAGAAACTGCTCAATATTCTTAGTTATAGAAATATTTTTATATACCTACGTTTGTTTTTTAAAGTTTATTAATTGTACATAATGCCCATCAATCCGTAAAGGTGCTAATATATTAATAATATTTAAAATGTATGCAAGCGTATGTAATTCTGTTGTAAAAGTTTAAAAAACCAAAGAAAAAATGGTATGACTGTGTTGCAATGTGAAAAAATATTTTATTTGGGTATTTTTTAATTGTTTAGTTACAGATTTTGATTGTTACATACCGTTTTTATAAAAGTACACTCAATTAATGCTATTTGTTTAATTATTGTGTTTAAAAATAATTTGTAAAAACATGATTTATGTTAATACATGTAATATAAACTGCGTATGTGCTCACTATCACTATAAAAACAAGTTTAAAACCATTTAAACGATTTTTATTGCGTTAGTTTTTTACAATATAAAGGGCCATAGTGTTTTTTTTTCGTTCGTTCGATGTATATCAGTATTCAATGCTATACATCTTTGAATGCGATCGAGCCCTCATTAAATGTGGAAAACCCATCGACAGTGTTTTTATAAACATAACGCAATGACATTGGGGAACTGGGGCCTTAGCATAATTTCTTTTGCGTTGGTCATTGAAACAAGACCGCGTTCTGCGCATTGATTGGTTGGTTCATTAGAGCCGTCCAATCAGAGAGCTGAACGCACCGAACTCGTAGGTACTTAGCCCTCTGAGCACGTTAATTTAAATTTTGAATACCTTCATAATGTGTAATTTATCTCTACATTGGCTAAATTATGCCCATACTTTAATTAATATATAAACTGCGTCGAGCTTTTAACAAAAGACTATGGGTTTTAAAAAATAAACCGCAACTCGGCAAAAACTCTGATACAGACGTTTATAGGCAGTTTAACCCAAATAATTACGAAGTCTTTAAAAATACCTAAAACATATTTACATTTAGTGGCGTCTAGTCGTGTTTAGTGGAATAATCTGTATATTTGTTGATTGTATGCTTTCTATAGACTATGACCGGTTATAGTCAGTTTAATCCGGTTATTTTGTTATTATTATCTCTTGTCAGCTTACATTGTTTTTAAGGCGTGTTTAGTATTTTGTAACAAGAAAATTGTAACGAATTAGTTTCATTATTGTACAGATGATTTAAACGTGACTTCGGAATAGTCTGCATTATTTTAGGAATATATTATTATTTTGTGTCGAAAGATATGTCTACAAAACTTCACTCTCATCTCGTCAGTCGTCTGAACACGCCAAAACTAGTCAGGATTCTTTTGTGCCTTATTTCTTGTATATTTGAAATTAATTTGTAATCGATGCATAATATTAGTATATTAGTTTGTAATTTACCATAATCGTTGTTATTTTTAAGAGATTATCACCATGTGCTGTTGTATTCATGTTTAATTTAAGAAAGAATTGACGCTAGCAAACCGACCTTTTTCAAATTGCCAACTTCTTTTATTTATTTTGAACTTTATTACTTTGTAACAAAGTCCAAAATTTATGAAAGAATCGTTGACAAATTGTCTCTGGTTGGTGTGCTAACCTATACAATCTGTAGCAACTCCAAAAAAGCGCGGGAATTTGACTAGAGTTAAAAATTATGTTGATTTTTGACTTCCATTTGTAATCAATATTTTGTAATTACCTAACTAGCATTTTGGATACATGTGTAAGTTTAAGTACATTAATGTTAATTTCTATGTATGTTATGTTATCTACTCATTAAAATGATTATTATTTTTATAAACCTGTTTTTATTTTTTGACCTTACCTTGGTATGGGCCCTTTTATAAAGTCAAACTATTTATTAGTGTGCTTTTTGGTAATACAATAGGTCTTACATTTTTATTATAGTAGCGCAAAAACCTGCCCATTAGGCATACACTATTTAAAAGTAGGTAAGTATAAAAGTATTCTTCACCATCAAATAATTAACCTTTTGAACGCCAGAGCAAAAACGCATGAACTTGCCCTCAACGCCAGGCCACAAATTCACCGCAAATACCTACGAAAAAAATAGGGATTCCAAAGCTTCATCGATAATCAATTTTATTTTCATTTTCGTCTTTAATTTCGAAATATAATGTCCTTATAACATTGAAATTTAATTCAACATTACATTTCTTCCTATTAAAGTAATAGTTATACACTATTTACAGACTTGTATAATACCGTAATAACAGATATGAGACTACAATATATTTAAATATAATAACTGTAGGTACAACACTATTCTTGATCTGCTGTCTTCATATTGTGACCATGGCGTGGACGGCCCGCCATTTTAATAACTACTTCGCTTCCGAAATAAGGATGTGGCAACGTAATATCTCGTTTATCGATGTTCTAGTACAATATTATTTTATAATAAATGAAACACGTTTTTTAAATCAGATTTATAATTCCGAATGTAACAGGTACTTAAAAATATATTATGATTGAAATAGGTTAAGAAGGTAAATAAAAACTATGAAAAAATAGAAAATTTTAATAAAATGTTATACAGTATGTACTATGTATACATGTTTTTAAATATTAAGTTCTATAAACCTGGCATAAAAAGTAACAAATTAAAACAATTAACGATTATATATAATTATCACAATTACCAATCAGTCTTATACTAATAAATCTTTTGAATAATAGAACAAAATTATACAAAATCTACAATGCAACCTGCATTCTGATCATCTAATTCGCTGGGTGCAAAGTGGGTGGTGGGGACAGTGAAATCGATCTCAGCGCGCACCGTGGCTAAAAAAGGAACTTTTGGCAGACTGTATTCCACGAAGTTCTTCCGTAGTCATTAAATTCCCACTCATTATAATAGTCACTTAATATAAATCTTGAACTCGATATCACAAGTAAATTAATCATAAATATTATTCATTCACTTCACTAATTTCTGGTCGCCGCGCTTGTGACGTCACGATATTGTCGTCTAGTCGTGACCATGGCGTACAGGGTACTGATAATTCGGGTTGCGTTAGGGATGCGCTTGAGTTGGGATTAGTGAATATCCAAATTCGACCCAACCAAATTTTATTTTTGACTATGTAGCTTATTGAATGATTTTTAAGACTGGTTTTATAAAATTAATGCTGCTTTATCCTAGTACCAAATTA